AACCCCCCCACCCCACACACACACACAATATCCCCCCCCCCCGGCACTCAACAAAACAAAGCAATACCCAGTTGCCGACGGCGCCGGGCCAGCCCTTGTATGCCTTATGAGGATCGATGCTGCGCGCGAGTGTATGCCACTTGTCCATTTGAGACTTGGACACGAGCCCATCCAATGTCTTGAGCGTCAGCATCAGCGGCATGGTGTAGAAGTTGCAGTGCCCCTGTGCGCAGCCTTGGTCACCGACGGGCTGACCGAAGGCAAGTGCCGTGAGGGCGGCCGTGGTGGCGAGGGCGACGTCGTCCAGCACCTCCGCTGACAGCGTCGAGTTGAAGTACTCGTTGCGCACTAGCGTTGCTCCAGCAAAGGCAAACGTTGGCGTGCTGTACTGAATCTCCACGCCTGCATACGGGTCGATGATTCGGCCATACTGCGGACTAAAGGCATCCTAACAGTGAACGTATGTGTGTGTGTGTGTGCGTATGTGTGTGTAGGTTTGTGTGTGTGTGTGCAGTGAGTCACAACATCAGATCGCCACCGTCCTCGCACACACGCACACGCACACGCACACGCACACGCACACACACGCACACGCACGCACACGCACGCACACGCACGCACACGCACGCACACACGCGCACACACGCGCGCGCCACACCTTGATTTGGAATTGCCGGAAGTGCAGGACAACGGGAGCGATGACATCCAGGTAGGTGTCGCGCGTGAAACCCGTTGGGTGGAAGTCCTGCTTGTTGAACATCTTGACATTATGCAGGGCGCTGATTACGACTCCTTCGAGCGGAAATGGAGGTAGCTTCGCCGAAGCAAAGCCCACAACAGCTCCCACCACAACCACAAGCAGTGCCACCGCTGCCATGATGCTCCTGAATGTTGTTGTGGGTGCTGGCTGGGTTGGTTGGTGTTTGTATTTGTGTTGCAGTGGAAAAGTTCTGAAGAGTCGTTGGTGATTTGGCCAGTTTTCGGCAAACAACAACGACGAGGATGAGGAGCGTGTTGCGGCGACTGTCAGCCGTGCTGTTTGACCTCGATGGCACCCTCGTCCACACCGGTGCGTCAGCCGTGAGTGAGTGTGTGTGTGTGTGTGTGTGTTTGTTTGTTTGTGTGTTTGTGTATGTTTGTGTGTGTTTGTGTATGTTTGTGTGTGTTTGTGTGTTTGTGTATGTTTGTGTGTGTGTTTGTGTGTGTGTGTGTGTGTGTGTGTTTGTGTGTGTTGTGTGTTTGTGTGTTTGTGTATGTTTGTGTGTATGTGTGTGTGTGTGTGTGTGTCATTGTACTTTTGCGTCTGTGTGTGTGCTTGTGTACGTTTGTGTATGTTTTGTGTGTGTGTGTGTGTCATTGTACTTTTGCGTCTGTGTGTGTGCTTGTGTACGTTTGTGTATGTTTTGTGTGTCTTTGTCCATGTGCCTGCCTCTTGTGCCGATGTCTGGCACCATGACCATCACACTGCACCATGGCGGCAACACTAGACCATCTGCACTACCAGGCATGGCAGCACCATGACCATCACACTGCACCATGGCGGCAACACTAGACCATCTGCACTACCAGGCATGGCAGCAGATTGGCAAGGAGATTGGGCTTTCCATTTCCAGCGATCAATATGAAGAGACCATCTCCGGTCGCCAGAATCCACCCGTGCTTCGAGGTGTATCTGCGTGTATGTATGTATGTATGTGGCTGTCTATGTTTGTGGCTGTGTCTATGTGTCTGTGGCTGTCGGTGTCTGTCTGTCCATCTATCTGTCTGTGTGCATATGTGTATGTCTGCGTGTGTGTAAGTGTGTGTGTGTGTTTGCTCCTTTTGCCACTTTGCCATGATATTGCCCCTCTTTCTTCTCCGTGTCCCCTCTTCCAACCTCACCAACATCACCAACATCACCAACATGATCAACATCACCAACATCATCACGCCACGCTGCCTTCTGCAGAGCTGAAGCCCGAGCTCCCTGAGCCCGAAGTACAGGAGCTTTCACTCCGCAAAGAGGCCTTGTTCCGGGAGCTGGCAGCGCAGTGCACAGACCCCGTGGATGGCATTGTCCAGTTCTTGGAGGCGCTGGATGATGCCGGTGTTCCCAAATGCCTCGTCACAAACGCCCCGAGGTATGATGCTTTGTGAAGACTGAGAGGCTAAGTGTGTACACCTGTGCGTGTGGGGAGAGAGAGAGAGAGAGAGAGAGAGAGAGAGAGAGAGCGAGAGGGACAGAGAGAGAGAGAGAAGAGGACAGGTGGTAAGATAATGTGCAACATCCCACTGGCTCTTGTTTGTTTTGTTTTGGTTCTTTGCCTTGGGTTGCACAGCTTTGCTTGCACTGGCTGTTGTTGTGCCACTCACCCACACGCACGCACACAGGATCAACGTTGACATGATGCTGCAGGGTTCGAAACTGGACCGCTTCTTCCCCACCTCTCACCAGGTGAGGGCACGGCTTGCCACACACACACAATGCGCACAATGCACACGCTCAACACTCACACACTCGATACTCACACACTCAACACTCACGCACTCAATCCACACGCGCACTCAATCCACACGCGCACAATACACACACACACACACAATGCACACTCCATCCTCTCACCAACGCTTTTTTTTTTTTTTTTTTGGTGGCAGATCCTTGGAGACGAGTGCACACACGCCAAGCCGCACCCTGAGCCATACTTGCAGGGGCTGAAGCTGTTGAATGCGCAAGGCAGCCGTGCTGTGGCCTTTGAGGACTCCATTGCGGGCGCCTCTGCTGCCATCAAAGCCGGCATTCCAACCATCGGTGTGCTCACCACCCTCAACCCAGCGGCCATGACCAAGGCTGGCGTCGCCGCCACCATCCAGGACTACACCGAACAGTACGTCAACCAACGCTGCTATGTGGGTCGATGACCGAACGAAGAACGGGGGGGGGTGATTTGTCTGTCGGGAAGAAGCAACCAAACGTCACTGAGGGAGTTACATTTGATGTGACATGTGATGTGTCACACACACACACACACACACACACACACACACACACACACACACACACACACACACACACACACACACACACACCACATTGATTTGGGAACGTTGCTCCATGCTATCTATGCCCACAACAACAGGCACCTCGCACCACAGTAATGTAACAGCTCCTACGTCCCATCACACTCACGTCGCATTCACTGCACACACACACACACACACGCACACACACACACACACACACACACACACACACACACACACACACACACACACACACACACACACACACACACACACACACACGCCAAAAAAAAAGGTTCCTTCTATCGACACTGAACAGCATAAAATGAAGTAAACGCTAAATTGTGGAAATTATACTCAATTTTCCGCATTCCTCCCTCCCCCAACACAACACAGTCAGTTTTGTTGGCAAAGGCACAAACAAGCACTCACAAACAACGACCAGCACACACCACACCCCTCCTCCTCCTCCTTGCACTTACCGTCCTCCCTTTTACTTGAACGTACAACTCCGCTTTGACGTGTGTCACATCACTTCACTACCGCTTAGCAAGCACACAGTAGGAACCACCACCCCTCTACTGCATCACAGGCTGCGTTTTCATTGCCTGTCCTCTGCCTCCTCCGCCCCACTCCACCTTTCCCTTCTTTCGGCGTTGGCGGAACGCTCGCAGCAGATTTCTACTGCCGATCGATACTTGTGCTCGTCCGGAGCCTTCTCTCCCTCCCTCTTTCTTTCTTTCTTTGTTTTGTTGCTTGGTTGGCTGGGAGTCCACCCCCCCCCACCCACACACACACACAAACGCTACTTCTCTGTTAGCCGCCCGCCACCATGTCGTGCGGATCGTCAGAAACAGACAAGCGCAGCAAAAAGATTGACAAGGCCTTAAGAAAGGCCGGTCATCAAAGCAAGGTATGCGAGCATGTCTGTGTGTGTGTGGGTGTGGGTGGGTGTGTGTGGGTGGGCGCGTGTGCTTGTGTATGTGTACTTGTGGGTGGATGGCTTCTTTGTGTCATTCTACTGACGCTTGCAAACGGTCCTTCGTCACGCCCCATTCCCAAAACGTGACTATGCACACACACACACACGACACACACACACACACGACACTCATTCTCACCTACTCGCCCTCGCACATCACGTTGCATTACCCGACTTTAGGGCGTGTTCAAGATCCTGCTGCTGGGCACTGGAGAGTCTGGCAAGTCCACAGTTGTGAAACAGATGAAGATCCTGTATTGCGGCGGCTTTGGCGATGAGGAGAGACAACGGTTTCGTATCCTCGTCTTCCGCAACTGCCTTCGCTCCATGAAGGCGCTGGTCGATGCAATGGACCTGCTAGAGATTGCGTTTGAGAACCAGAGCCTGATTGAGCAAGCATACGACCTGCTCGACATCTCCGAGGCGTCGTTCACAGACCTCGCACCACACAAGGAGCTCTTCCGAAAACTGTGGGAAGACAAGGGCGTACAAAAGGCATACGCGAGGCGAGACGAGTTCCAGTTGAGCGTCAGCACAGCGTACTTCTTTGACAAGTTGAACGACCTGTGCGAGCCGTCGTACATCCCAGACAACGATGACATCCTCAGAGCGCGTGAGGCAACAACAGGCATTCACGAGGTCTCCTTCGAGGTCGAAAAGGCAACTTTCAGGTGTGTGTGTTTGTGTGTGTGTGTGTGTGTATGTATGTGTGTGTGTCCGTGCGCAGCACATGGCATGCATCCCTCTGTGTGTGCCCCTGTGCCTGTGACAACGTTTGCGTCTCTACGTCTTGTCTGGCTTGCCGAGGCAGCGTGTGTGCTCTTGCCATGAATGTGCTCACCTTGAATTATGAACGGACGTGGATGCATTCACTCGTGCGCCTCAGGATGCTTGATGTCGGTGGGCAGCGGTCGGAGCGGCGAAAATGGATTCACTGTTTTGAGAACATCACAAGCATCATCTTCATCTCTGCGGCAAACGAGTACGACCAAGTGCTTGCCGAGGACAGCGAGACAAACCGCATGAAGGAGAGCGTCGCCCTCTTTGCACAGGTCAGCAGCACTCTTGTGTGTGTGTGTGTGTGTGTGTGTGTGTGTGTGTGGGTGGGTGGGTGGGTGGGTGTGTGTGGATATACGTGTATGTGTGTGTGTGTGTGTAACGATGTGCAGCTATGCACAACTGCGGGTGCAACTTTTGCCTGCATCCCCCATGTGTTTATCGATTTGTCCTCCGTGGTCCATGTTTGGCACCATCTCACCACCTGTTGATGTTCCTGGCGCAGATTATCGGCTACTGGTGGTTCCGGGAGACGTCCTTTGTTCTGTTCCTGAACAAGCAGGATTTGCTTGAGGAGAAGGTGAAGCGCTCCTCTCTCAAGAAACACTTTCCAGAGTTCCCGGTACGTGCTACACTCAAGGCGGCCTCGTCACACACACACACACACACGCACACACATGCACACACATGCACACAGCACACACACACATGCTCGCAACGTGTGTCACCTCTCATCCACCATCACTCTTTCACTTTGTCGCCCTTCCTTCTGCACAACTGCGGTTCCAACTCCTTCACAACTTGCCCACGCCTGCTCCTTTTACTCACGCAACCCCCTCCCCTGCCTCACCTCTCGATTGGCTCGTCTCGCTGCACTACCGCGTATGCGCTGTGCACACGTGTGCGTGTGTGTGTGTGTGTGTGTGGTTCAGGGCCCTGACGGCGACTATGAGGCGGCACGCGAGTTTATCCAGGACCTGTACTTCCGCGAGAAGCCGGAGACGCACCAGCTGTTTGTGCACTTTACAACGGCAACCAACACAGAGAATATCTACCACGTCTTCAACGCAGTTCGGTCCACGCTCATTCGCTCGCAGCTCAAGAACCTCAACCTCTACTGAGCCCACAAGTCAACTAGAAGGCGACAACAACAACAGCAAGCAATCATTGCACTTGGTTTCAGCTTTGGTTTACTCCTGCCTTTTGTCTTGATCTTTACTGCCCGTCTGTGTGTCTGTGTGCGTGTTGTTTTCTTGCCTTGTTCTTCCTCCCTTTTTTCTGTTTCCTTGGCGGTGCCAGCAGTGTTGTTGACCATTGCTGCTCTCCAGCACACCATCGTTTGCGTTTGTACATCCCGTTACTCTCCCGTCGTGCGTGGACGTTTCAATCCCTCGGTTTTCGCCCCCCCCCCTCCCCTCCTTCGTCTCACATGTCGCGGGGCATGCTGTTGTCATTTCACACCACTGGAAGCTTGCACTCGTTTCTTTTCTTTCTTTCTTTTTTCCGTTGATTTGATATTTTCGTCAGCCAATTCTGCCCCATCCTCCCCCTCCCTTCCTCCTTCACTGTCGGTCATCGTTTCCAGTGATGACCTCGTTCAGCCTTTGCGTCCTCTTCTACCGCCACCTCCACCAGGCCCTTTCTTCTTCTCTTCTGCCCTTCTCCCTTTGCTTCCTTCGCGGGATACGTTCGGTGCTCCTCTTGTGTTCCTTTGCTGCTGTGTTGGTCGTGGTCGTGGTCGTGGTCGTGCAGCCGCGCTTTCCCTTCCCTTTCCTTGCCTTCTCTTTCCTTTCCTTCTTTTGGTTTTGCTCGTTTCTCTTTCTAGTTTGCACTCGTGTGTTTGCATGTGTTTCGTCATCACCGCACATGCGCACGGTGCCACGTAGCCCTCCACCCCCTCATCTCCACCCTCACACCTCTTCCAGCATCGTGCGTTCATATGGTGCTTCTTTGTTTTGTGTTTGCGCATGTGTGTTGTGTGCCTTTGCAAGTTGGTGTGATCACCATGCGTGCATGCACGCATGCACAAGCACTGCTCTCCCTCACCCCCCCCCCCAACACACACACATTTCCACACATGCGCATATGCAATGCAGTTCGCAATTGTGTGTTTGCCTGTAATAAACCTCTTCACAACTCGTTACACGCTCACACATACAGATGCTGGAGAAAAACAACTGCCTATTGTTGTTTGGCAGTGTGAGCTATAACCACGGCATGTCTGTGGCGTGGTGATATATTGATTGATAGCAGCCCGTTGTTGTTGTTTGTAAGTTCAAGTTGTTGTTGTTTAAGTTGTTGTTTAAGTTGTTGTTTAAGTTGTTGTTGTTGTTGTTGTTTAAGTTGTTGTTTAAGTTGTTGTTTAAGTTGTTGTTGTTGTTGTTGTTGTTGTTGTTGTTGTTGTTGTTGTTGTTTAAGTTGTTGTTTAAGTTGTTGTTGTTGTTGTTGTTGTTGTTGTTGTTGTTGTTTAAGTTGTTGTTGTTGTTGTTGTTGTTGTTGTTGTTGTTGTTGTTGTTGTTGTTGTTGTTGTTGTTCACGGTTGCTGAGACAACTGCGTGCTGGCGTGCCACACGTTCACACGACGTGTCATGTTTCAATCTAATCGTGGCAGCACCACTTGGGACCACACAACGTGATGTGATGTGACGTGATAACACGAGAACACATTCGCAAACTGGCAAGGACAACGGCGCCGACAGTATGTATATAGCACGGCACACAGCGTGCAACACACATCGCATAAAACACATCGCACACAGCGTGCAGCGTGTAGCAGGTGGCCGTGTCACTGCACGGCATGGTCGCATGTCACTCCTGCGGCTTGATCCTGGTGGCATACTGGACTACACGCGTCTTGATGGCATGGTACACGCGCGCAACAATGGCTGGGCAGTAGCGGTGTGTGCTCGCATGATCTGGTGGGAACAGCAAAGAATGGGGCGGAGAGTAGCAGCATGAGCGCGGAGTGCTGCGTGCAAGGGACAAGCAAGACGACAAGAAATGCAACCAGCACAAACATAAAGACACACACACACATGCACACATAACATGCACACATGCACACATAACATGCACACATGCACACATAACATGCACACATGCACACACATACACATACACATACACAGACACAGACACATACACAGACACATACACAGACACAGACACAGGCACACATCAACACACACAAACACATACACATACACACATCAACATACGCACATACACATACATATACACATACACATACACATACACATACACACACACGCACCGAGGACAAAGACGGCCTGGGACCAGAAGATGCGGTTGGTGTTGTTGCGGCGCGAGTAGAAACGGAGCATGTGGAAGAGAGCCATCGTCATAAACGCCAACAGCGCGGGAATTGCCAGCCTTTGCACAGCGACACGAAAACACCGAGACAGACGCGGGTTGAGCGGCGGTGGTGGTGGTATGATGGAGAGCGGGTGAATTGTATGTGAAGGGCAAGTGGCAGATTTGGAAATGCACACACCAACCACTATGACACACATGCGCATTGCAGTACAGGCATGCCGCACGCAGATAACAAGCACACATGCACACACGTATCCGACGCACATGCACGCATCACGTGTACCTTGAGGTGACGAGGGTGAAGACGGTGAGAAAGAGGGCTGCAACCTCAAAGTTGCAGATCATCTGAAAGACCTGTGATCCAACACAGGCAGCAGAGAAAAATGTGTCAGCGGGCGGTGATGTGAGACGATGCTGACAAACAACGTGCAGCATTGATTGCGAGTGCACTCACCGACTGCTGCCGTTGCGCGATGAAGTTGATGGGGAACTTCAGCACGGCCGGCTGTCCCGTCTCCTGTTGCGTGTGTGTGTGTGTGTGTGTGTGTGTGTGTGTGTGTGTGTGTGTGTGTGTGTGTGTGTGTGTGTGTGTGTGTGTGTTGAGTTGCAGCAAATGGGTTAACTCGTGTGATGTGCACTGTGATAGAGATGCGACGCCATGTAACAACCACTGCTATGGTGGGTGTCTCCCTCCAGCCCTGCCCGGTCGACCGACAGAACAAGAGGCAGCTCAGGGCAGCAGCTCACCCGCAGCATGACGTTGAGGAAGCCGATGACGGCAAGCAAGCTGTTCAAGGTAACTGGCAACAGCAGCACAAGGGATGGCGGAAGACTACGACAGCACGCAACCCAGTGTAAGTATGGTCGTAGGTAAATGTGCACAGGTGTGTGTGTGTGTGTGTGCGTGTGCGCATGTTTGCGTGTATGACACAGAAAGCCAGTGGGAAAACACATACAGAGAGTGTGAGTGTGTGCGTGACACAGACAGCGAGTGGGCAAACACAGAATGTATGTGTGTAAGCAAGCGACCGAGCGAGAGGGAGAGAAAGGAGAGAACAGTGACACTCACGAACATCGCATGGCAAACAAAGCGGTACTACCCCATCCTTGCCCACGTGCACATGGCATCAACGCCAAGCACAAGCGCAGGAGGTGCAAGAGCGTTTACAACGAAGGCACACAAACGCACGTACATACATGTCCCGCCACCAACCAACCTGTAGATTGCGAGGCAATAGAAGACGTAGTGCCCGCTGTCTTCATGCATGGCACGCCGCAACCAGTCCCGAGTCAAGCTCACGCCCTGTTGTGGGTGTGGGGTTGAGGGAACGTGGCAGGGTTTGAAAAAAACTATGCCGTTTGTTGGCGCAGCCACTCGTTGGTTGATTCAATTACGCACTCACTCACTCACCTACACTCACTCACTCACTCACTCACTCACACACACACACTTACTCACTCACTCACTCACTCACTCACTCACTCACTCACTCACGCACGCACGCACGCACGCACGCACGTACAGACCTCCAGGCGCTGCATGACGCGTGCAGCGTACACGCCCGCAAAGACGACAATGGCCAGCCTCATGTGCACAATGGCAAGGATGATGCCCAGTAGCCTGGCACCAGCAAGCACGGCATCCTGCCGCTTCCCCTTCAGATACTCCTGTCATGCGCAACGCAAAGCAGGCAATGAACGCCATGAGCCTTGATGACACAACCAACACAAAAACAAAAGAGAGAGAGAGAGATAACATCACCTCAACACCCACACACACACACATACATACACACACGTCCACTTCTCTGTGCAGCCAGCATCATCACCGTTGTCACCAGTGACCATTGCAGCATTGCCACTTTGTCACAACACATTGCCGCGCATCGAACGCACCACCGCAGA